CACGGGTGATAGCTGTGATCGTTTATTAAAAATACAGTTAATCATTCACCGTATAAGACCATTAATTGATGGCCGGAAAAAAGAACCCTTCAACCGACGCTTTAACAGACCAACATTAACCGCTTGCTAGTTGTTGTGTGTGTGTGTTGTGTGTGTGTGTGTGTGTGTGTGTGTTTGTATGTGTGTGTGTGTGTGTGTGTGTGTGTGTGTAACTTTGAAAAAACAAAAAGTCATAAAAGAATCCACAAATGAAAAGAAAAATCGACACTTTTCGATTTTAGCCACAGCAGACAAGACGGCCCGTGATCTCTTATAATTATTATTGCAATAGAGAAGTCTGAGGATTATATGTATCCAATATGTTGGTGAGTGACTGTCCGTTGGCAGCAGATTGTCCTTTTCTTTAGTTTTTCGCAGCAGCTGACACGTGTCTGACCTGAATTGAACTTCTAATTTGACTTCAGGAGTAATTACGGTCACAAAGTACAATAATTAAACACGCAAACTGGCAACACAAGCCGTGCTTACATCGCTATATGACAGGTAGGCAGAAGAACTCACGTAATTCCTGCGTTTAGGATTTTCCGAAGAACTGTAGTGTCCTTAAAGTAGCCCAAATGTCCTGCGGCTCTATGTGTGTGAGTGGGTGGGGTAAGTTTGAGGGTGTCACCCTGGGGCGATAATAATTATGATATATGCACTTGACAGGGTGTGGATGTCTTTTATTATCTATTACATTTGTTTAAATCGCTGTTAAGGCAGATACATGCAATTAGAGTAAATTTCGTCCAGGCTGGACAAGACTATATACTGGTCTGTTTCTCCTGGACTGTCCTTTTAACAGCGACCACCTGCGTCTCGCCTCCTCTGCTCTGCTCACCTCACGCACTGCATGGGGAGAAATTAATTTGCTGCAGATCTCAAAAGCTTAAACAAGGCAGTGACGCCCCGGCCCCTCCCCTCCGCAAACCGACAAGTAAATCCCCACAATTAGCAGATCCATATTAGCATATTAACCTGTGCTTCCTTCCGAAGCGCATCCTTTATGTAGGTCAGACACAATTTTCTTAATTGCTTTTGCTGTTGACGGAGGACAAACATCTTCTGGGCCGTTTGTTATTGTTGCGTTCATTATATTAGTGGTTATCTTAAGCTGGAAAGGTGCAAGCAGGCGCACACACACACATATGTACACAGCTAAAGGGACCGAGTTAACGGACGCTCACAGCCAGATGAAGCCGGTGTCAAACCGGTGCTGATTAAAAACCAAACAGACTCACAAACAAGGCCAGCACATGTGCGCACAGACTGCAAGCAGACAGCATTGTGAATTTTGAAAGTCCGTCTTTCAATCAAGAGCAGACTGTTTACATGAGTTTGCGAGTGTCCCGTCATTAGATGTTTAAATACTACTTCTTTTTTGTCACGCGTGGCTTGTAAAAAGTGGTCCAAACATTGGTCCTTTAAAACTCAGCATGGATCCTCATGAAATGTATCATCGCTTGCTGCAAGTATTAGAATCTGACACAATATACTTAAAGTAGTGTTAAAGCCTATAAAGGGATTACTGCTTACACTGACAGCAATGGACTAAATGACTGCAGGCTATATAGTGATCTATTATGAATAAGTGTTGGCCTACTATTAACCCATTTAAAACGATCAGATCTGATACTAAATCAAAGAAGGACGAGCAGATAATGACATTTATATTTTAGGTTAAATACAATATGATAAATTTAGCTATTTGATTAGATTTTTTGTTTAGTTTTAAATCTAAAGTTGCACCGGAGCAGTTAGTGACATAAAAATAGCCATGAGACTTTTGCTTTTAGAAAAATTTAAATTTCTACAGCGGCCCTGTGAGCTCAATCCTAATCTTCTGCCTCTCCATGCTGTCTTATATGGCAACATGGCCCTCTGCTCTCAGCGGTCCATCCAGGAACCTTGGGGCTGATCTAAATTCTCGCCTCTGGGCTGTACTGTGCGGGGTTTCGGGCCTTTCCCTGCCTCGTCAGGCGGCAGATGGACTGGCTCCTGTCCGGAGATCAGTGCGCATCTGGTGGGGCGCTCCCAGCCCCCGGTAAAGCGGGGCCAGTCGTCGGCATTAAGTCCTATTAGGACCGTCTACCGTGCAACTGGTGCCTCGGGTTGGAGACGACGGTGGCTGCACAACCTGCATACACATATATATGTTCAGGCAACAGCGTTCACCATGACAGGAATAAAAAATTAAACCAGATCCATGGGCTCAGTCATCTGTTAGGATACTGGTCAATGGAGTGTGGAGATTTAGGGTCAAGCGCTTCAGCTGATGCCCATTTGAATGTAAAGAATGTGTTTGGCCTTAAAGCCATTTCTAAAATGAATCAGGCCAGCTGACTGAAATTCACAGACCTACACCTTCAGGTAAATTTATGTCTTGTCATCCAAGTTTTTCTAACGATGTAAGAGGAGACAGGTTAAGTTGCCATTCTAGTAAAGGTCTATGTGTCAGCACGATTTGCTTCCCATAGTTTGATCAAGCTTGCCCCTTCACACTTTCTTTTAAAAAATGAAATCAAAGGTGTGTACCCTCGTGGGGGCATTTTGTCACTGAATTCGGGTCAGTTTTTGTTGCTGTGTTCTGGCCGTAACAAGATAACGTCAGAAAATCCTGATCATATGATCAAATTTAGCATCGTTTAAGGTACTTTAATTGACACCACGGCTCTCTCTTGCTCCCTCCATCTCTTTTTGCCCGGTGGCCTTCCCATTCATCCCCCCTCCTCCTCCTC